GGGCTTGAGGCTTAGGGTTTAGGGCCTAGGGTTTAGGGTTTAGAGTTCAGGGTTTAGGGCTTTGGGCTTAGGGCTTTGGGCTTGGGGCTTAGGGTTTAGGGCTTATTCCACAGTGCAGGTCGAACGGCCCAAACTAAACCCTAAACCCCAGACCCGAAACTCCCACAGCCCTTACGCACGACCTTCACCCCAAACTCCATCTTTTGGGAGCCTACGTCATTGGGCCCTTAGACATCGAATGTCGGGGCCCGTAGTCAGAACAGGGTTTTGGGGCCCATTGATATTACAATTAGAATAAGGAACACCCGACATAGTATAGGTAATCATTTAGGCTTTTATATTGCAAAGACGACACCCATCCCCCACAAATCCCCTGAGAACCCGACCCTAAAACAGAATCTCACAAAGCCCTAAACAAAAGCATACAAATCCCTATCAAGCCAGGGAGTCCATATATATATATATATATATACGACCATTCTGGAATTAGAGGAAAGACCATCCTTATTACGGTTTTGGGGGACCTGATGCCATATAGGAGAAAAGGACCCTCAAAGAAACAGTCACAAGACCCAAAGTCCATGAAGGAAGCCTGGCTAGACATCTAAACCCTAAACCCATAAACCCTAAACCCTAAACCGTCTGCCTCTTCCAGCTTCTGCTGGTCATTCTTGATCATCGTGCCAGGCCTCCGGGTAGAAATGATGGGCAACACTGTCTAGGCTTTCGCATGTGCGCTTATGTTTGGCAGGATAGTGTAGGGCGGGGTTATGTACGCACATAATTGCATTAAACATATATACATACATGCATATACATATATCTGTTTATGTGTATGTATATGTATGTTTATGTGTATATATATATACATATAAATACGCAGCGCCAGATTCTCTTCTTCTTACTGGAGTAGTGATCTGAACTGTCGGGTCCCTGTCTTGCGTCTCGCAAGGTCCACATCACTAAAAGGTAGCCTAGTTTTGAGTTGAGGGTTTAGGGGTTTAGGGTTTGGGGCGGTTTAGGGGTTTCGGGTTTGGAGAGCTACGAATCTCCTGTCTGTTGTACGGAGTCTGGCGGGTTGCTGCTCGCGAGATCTAGACATCAAGATGTGCGGTTCGGTGGTTTTCACGTAGGTCAAAGGGCTGGTGCCTTATTCCAAGATTCTAGGGTACACTGCCCTGAGGGTCCATGTACCCAAATAGCATATACTTTGTTGCCCGCAAATTACCTATATCGGGACTACTTCAAGGCCAAAGCATATGGGTAGTTTTCTAAATTAGGGTCCCTTTTAGGGTCCTTCTTATCAGGGTGCCGTACTTTATTGGGGACCNNTAATTTAGAGAACTGCCCATATGCTGTTTGGGCACACGGACCCATAGGGCTGAGCCCATAACCCTGCTGGCCGACTTGCAGGCACGTCGTACTGGCGGAGTTAGTAAACAACAACTTCTAAGGGCTAACAAAGTAGGTGATGTAAGAGACGGTTCACTGACTAAGGTACCCCCTCAACTGGGATAGTTGCAATCTGGACCTACACACCATGCATCTACCCTCGGTTCGACCCAAAATAGCCGTTTTGTGGTATACACGGGAACCCAACTCCACAGATACTGAAAATTAACAGTTCTCGATTCTCGATCACATCAGAGCACGCAAACGGACATCTAGCTCCACTACTAGCAGTGATAATTCCTACAACGAAAATCTACACTCCTGACATGCTTTAGGATGACATCCCATCACCCACCCGAAGATCACACATGTGAACCCTGCGAGCACCTCCGGCTCGGACTAGAGGGTTTAATTTATCCGTAGTTCCTTGTTTGGGCACCACGGTTGTTGGTACAGGATCTCAGCCATACTTCTGGCAAAGGTCACAAAGTGATTGATGTGCTCTGTAAGTAAACAAGTATTGAATATTGACGGTAGTTTCGGCGAGCATTCTGTTTTGGAAGCGGGGCTCCCCGAACGTAGTGACGTCTACTATTGCCACTACTGTTGCATTGACTATTACTGGTGCTATTACCCAGAGTATCTTTGAAAAGGGGCCCGGGGCCTTTAATTGCCTGTTTAGGGTGTAGGGGGGGGGGGGGGTTCTTCCTAGTCAGTGCCCAACATTAGCCAAAACAAGACTACATTGGAGACGATACAAAGAGCAGCGAGTGAAAGTCAAGTTGCCTCACAGTGTGATGGCCGTGGTACCCCAAGCCAGGGACCACTGGCCGCGTTCGGGTCCTCAG